TCCATGTGTTTTCATTGATTACTCTGGACCACTCTGTAAATTTTGCTTATATAATATTTGCAAAAACTAACATTTCAGGATTATACAACAATAACTGCTTTATTCTCTATAAGATGTCAAGATGCTTGGCATAGGTTTTCACAGATTTGTAGGATAAATCAACATGAGTCATGTGAGCAAGGCTCCAGGCAAGGAACTTCAATTATTTCAACCTTCCTTAATAACATTATAAAAAAAAAGAAAAAACCTTCAGGCCTTACTATACATTTTTCTATATTTTATATCACTCCTTGAACATTTTATTGAAGTATAATGTACATACAGAAAAGAGCACATATCCTATAAGAACTGAGCACTCCTGTGTGTGCAGCCAGCTTCCAGATAAAGAAACAGAATATGGCCAGCGCCTCTTCTTTACCCTTTTCTTAATCACTCACTGTCCCCCAAGGGTAACCACTGTGCTGCCTTCTGAAAATTCCTTTTCCTTGTTTACTTTATTTTATTTTTTTGTACTTTATAGAAATGGAATCTCACAGTATGTACTCTTCTGTGTCTTGTTTTTCTCACTGGTCATTATTCATGTAAAGTTCATCTATATGATTGAGTGTAGTTAGAGTGTACTCTTATTGTGTACCATTCCATTATGTTAATACTCACAACTTATCTATTTATTCTACTCTTGATAAATATTTGAGCATTTCCAGCTTTGGTTTGTTAAGAATAGTGCTGTTCTGGCATTATTGCATGTATCTTTTAATGAACATCTATAAGCATCTCTGTTGAGTATCTATGCAGGAGTATGTAGCTGCATCATAGAGTATGTATGTGTTCAGCTGTAATAGATACTGCCACGCAGCTTTCCAAAGTAGTTGTGTTGATTTTTAACTTTTTGTTCAGCACACATTTATTCGATGATATTCTCAGGAAAAAGAATATTATTAGCTCACTGCTTTCTTCACTGTAGGTTTCACAATCATGAATGATGGTTATATAGTAAGAATATGACCCGTTTAAACAAATTTGCCACATAAATAGAATGCTTTGATTTATGAATTATAATAAAAAATTTCCTCTCAGGAAATTGGTCGTTAGCAGTGTTTCCAGACTTATTACAAAGGAAGAAATTCACCAAAATCTATATGGAGAGTCAGTTCAGGCAGTCTCTCCCACAGCCAGTTCAAACGGAGGCCTTTCCAACAGTCGTCGAGCAGTCGGCAAAGGACTGGGAGGGATTCAAAGACCAAGAGCCAGGCGATCTGAGATGATGCCTCAACGCTACCAACCTTGCGTAAACCTCTTAATTTATCGGAGCCTTTATTTTCTCATCTACAAAATAGGCCCTTAATCCACACACTGATTGTGAGGGTTACACGGAAATACTTCATATTATATATGTCACATAGGATTATATGAAGTAGTCAGAGCTTATGTTTTACATCAAGGACCTAGAAACACATTCTTAGACTATGACATTAAATCCCTAAGTGCTTTCCAGTTATATTCCTAGAGAGTGCGTTTTCCTCTATCCCGTTCAGTCCTGCTTTTTGTTATCACTCTTCACCTTAGCATTAGAAGTGTTGCGTGGTTCAACTTCATGGAATTTCACTAAATCATTAACATAGCCTGGTGGTCATTAATTGACCACCTAGTGGGCCAGTTACTTTACAAGTTGCATGGTGGGTTTTTGGTAATCCTTCGCCTCCATCTTTTCAAATAGTGATTCAAGATGTGCGTTTGGGTCCCAGAATGCATGTTTGTGCTCAAGTAGTTTACCTTGGATAATGTCATATCTTTCCCTAACCAATTCAAAACTTGCTTTATGGTATACATATTGGTACCTCTGTTCTTTGGTGTGAGTTGTTTTGAAAAGCCGTTCTACCGATGTGACAGAATATGTTTAATAGCCAATTAGAAATGCCGAAGTGGCCATCCCCCTTTGGGCATTTATCAGGGCTAAGTATGACAAGGAAAACATTCTTAATGTGTATTAACTTAAAAATCTCCCTTTATTTCATTCTATCTTCATTTATTTTTCTTCTTTATGTCCCGGCTATGTCGCATGCAGTGCGTTTGGCGTAGTTATGCAGCTGATGAGAAATCCGTTTCCATCGCAACCTGGAAGCCACACTTGAAGGCCTTGCACACCTGCAGCCCTACCAAGTAGGTAACCGTGTGACAGCTGGTGCTGTAGTCATGTCTCTTCAAGGTTGTAAAACAAACCACACACACACACACACACACACACACACACACACACACAGAGTCAACTTTTGGCTTGTGTATTCCCTGCTGCTCTTTGAGAAATTCAAACCTGTTCAGTAGCAACTCAGGCCCAAAACAATATACTCAGGAACTCAGTATCATTCCTCACCACTCACAGATGGGGCTTAAGGATTAAAGGACTCTAAACTTTTATAGAGATTTATTTCTACTATTTCATGCTTATTTTCTAATATTTCATAAAGCCCACCAGAATTCTAAAGGTAAGCACTATAGTACTTGAAAAACAGTGATTGTTTTAACTCCATCCATCACCTGACCCCAGGCAAGGAGTGCTTTGAGAGCAATCTATCTTTGCACATTTAAGTCCCTCAAAGTCATTTCTCAGTCGGGTCCCCTTATAGAATAGTCCTCGAGCTTTCACTTGCAGATCAAACTGATATCAGTGTCAAAATAGGAGAAGAGTTGGATCCTAATAGTATTACAGTTTATATGGAGGCAACGGAAACAAACAGATTAAAATTTGGAGTTAGCATGCAGAATTTAGAAATAATATTACTTGCATTCACGTTTCATTGCGCAAAGCAAATCACCTGGCCATGCTTAAACTCAAGGATGGGGAAGGACAATCCTACCATGTGTCTGGAAAGAGAGGAGAACTGGGAAAATTATGAATAGTCCTGATGGTTACAATGAACTTCAGTTTTCAAAAAAAAATCCTTAGCCCTGGAATCCTCGACTCCAGTTCAACTAGCAGAACGCATATTAAATTGTTATCACAATCTCATGAAAGAAATCTTCCTCAAAACAACCAAAGCAAGTAAGTTCAGGAAAAGGCCTCCTGTGAATCACCCAGCTTGATTGCAGTGGTCACTTCCTGGGGTTGTTCAAACATTATCAAAATGCTTATCTGATTTAGTATTTGAGAGCACCTGCTGTTTCTCATCATAGCCCAACAAAACCTTAATTCTAGTGACTTCATGGGAGTCAAGGCACCTAACTACTGTGACTTGGTCAGAGAAAGCTCTTTCTTACTGATGTGGAAGAGAAATTGGCTGGGGAAGCCTTCACGGAATTGCAGTCTCAACAGAGGTTTGTGAGGCAGAAGAACGTACACTGTTGGGGGCAGCAGATCCATTATTAACTGCCCGGATCTGCTAGATTGCTTCCTTATCCTGCCCTGGGCTTCAGTTTTCCCATCCACAAAGAGAAGGACAAGAGTAGGGCAAGATAGCTTCTAAGCTCTAGAGGACCTGTCTCCTAAAAGTTGATGTCAAAACTTTATCAGCACCTGTGAGATAGTCATAGAACACCAGGATTTGAAAAGGGGTAGAATCTTGGCAAGGACAGAAGCATGGGTGCTGTTGAGTGTGTGGATGAGAAACCTCCTTTCATTTAGATCTTAAATTTTAGTTAAATTCCCTTTATTGAGTATCAGATTCTTTCAAAGTTGTAGTATGAAGGGGGGAGGGAAAAGGACTATAACTCTTGTGCCATCTATTCCCTGGGTTATGAATCAAACATGGGAATTATGGGAAAACTGTGTTTATTGTCTTCATGAAGGTTGCCAGGTAAATATGTAAGAGGAAGGCTAGCCGAAAAACCAAAGAAGGGTTTTCAAGTGACATAAGAGAGTGATCTGTCACCATATGTCACCATTTGGCTTCCCACTTCCTTTGTTTTTGGATTAAAAGTCATTCTGGAGCCTGGAAAAACTACTTAATGATGAGCCAGAGTCTTCCAGTGCATAAGCTATTATCTTACTCACATAACTTCTCTCTTTTCTTTGCTATTTTCCCCATTTTAAGTGGGGGTGGAGGAAAATTTCTGCAAACACCTGCCTTCATCCTGTTTCACTGTGACTGTCAAGCATCCCCCTCACTCTCCTTTCCTGTACCCCTCATTAACCCCTGAGTCTCAGCCCCATTTACTGAATAACAGGTATGTGTCCAGAAGGACACCGCAGTCACTGGCAAAGTTCATGGGAACGTCCTAACACCCCTCCCACCAGCCGTACTTCATTGTTCTGAATCGTAGTGGTTCTTAATCTCTGTTGTTGTTTTCCTTTGTTAAACCATTGAGAACATGATGGTGATTATGGACTCTTTCCCAAGAAAAATATCTCACTGCATAAAAAATTAAAACCTTGCCTACAATTTTAATGTACTCACAAACTCCCCGAAGCCAAGTTCATAACCTTTGCTTTAGAAAGCAAACCTGCTTTAATCAAGTGTGTAAGTTTGTGAGGAAAATAATTTACAGTGACTTAGAGGGATAGTTTTACATTTATAACTAACTGGCTTATGAGCACTAAGTAGTGTAGGAAAAAAGAAACCGAAACTTCTTTTTATTCACATAGTGTATTTCCCTATAACCTTCGAGTTTTAAAACTTCTGAAGGGAAATATCATTTATTCATTTATTCATTCATTCATTCATTCATTCAACAAGTATTCATCGAGCACCTGTTCTGTGTAGGGCACTGTTCCAGGCCTCAAGAATGCAGCAGTGGGAGGGAAAAACTAACAGACTAGAATCTCAGACCTCAGGGAGTACATATTCAAGGGATGCTGGGGAGAGACAATAAAAATAAGTAAAATATATAATAGATTTGATGGTGATAAGTGCTAAAGAGAAAAGTAAAGTAGGGAGGGAATTTAGGGAGCATTAGGGGCTGCACTTTTAAATAGGCAGTCAGCAAAGATATCATATTATCAATAGTGTTATCATCACCATCATTATCACCAGTATTGTTATCATCAAAAAACACCAACCCTCGTTCTTGTAGATACAATGGGATGCTTTGACTTCACAATGTCATCCTGTGGAGTAGGAGGGGAGAGAGGGACAGGGTGAGGGGGCGAGCCACCCCCACTCAAACCTGCCAGGGATACACCAGCAGCTTCTTACTCTCTCCTCTCTGGTCTGGTTTGCCTCTAACATTTCCTTCTGAGGTCTCCACAGTTGCTATTTCAAAATTTCGTTTTAATAACAGAAGGATGTATAGAGGGAACATATTTTTCTTGATTTTTCTTCTCAAAGGGAATGAAGGCTATGCAAAGGGTGAAACACAGGTAAACGTGCTATTTTAGGGAGTCAGATATTTTAGGAAGCTATAGGAAATTATCAAGCTCCAAGGAAGCCCACTGGTACCTTAAGAATCCAGAATTTAGATATTATCTAATCCAACGCCTTCTGTTTATTCAGAAGAAAATCAAAACCCACAAGAAAGTGAGGTGTTTGCCCAAAGACACTCAGCTCATTTGTACCATGTTGCATAGACCTGAATTTGCTAAAATGGGTTATTAAAAACACCACCCAACACTGGACTAGAAGAGTTCTGGTATATTTTCTCTGTGCCTAATATGCTCCAAGAGAACTCATACTTTGTACAACAGGGAAAACAAAGTCAGCTTCAACAAGTGACTGAAATACAAGTCAGACATTAATGACTCCATATTAAGAAACCCAAAAGTCTGTCTAAAGCCCAGGGATGATAGCCACCGTGTAACCAGCACCATTCTAAGAATCCTTGCTAATGCCGGTTAGATGAGAACCACTCTTTCTTAACCACGGATAACTTTGGCTAATGACGAGTCTGTAACTTTGGGTTACATGTGGGCAGTATTGGTTTTGCTACGTAGCTGTCATGCTATCTCAGGTCTGCACCACAAAGAATATGTGTTAACAAGTTGGGTACATTTAGTATAAAGAATATTGATTTCCTGGATCTTGTTTGCAAAGAATTACTTAAGGTGCTTGAATCCCCAGTCTCCACTTCGGCTATAAATGTGTTCACCAGTTTATCACCATTTCTCTTCTGTCTGCACGCACCTGAAGGAAAGAGCAAGGGGAAGCATCCAGCAGGTTTGTGATCTCTTCTGCTACATGTTTGTTTATATATCTGTGCCTAACAGATGTTTTAAATGTGTCTCCTGTGAGTAAAATCAATCCACGAATACAAGATGATTAAAAGTGACCTTTCACAAGGTCGCCTGCAGAGGTTGCTGTTTTATTGATCCCCCACCCCACCGCCTTGAGAGCATAAGTGTCTTTCCCTAACTCACTCACTGCTTTTTACAATCTGCAGGTCATGGAATATTCTGGGGGAGAAATAATAATTATAGGCTATGGTACCATTTTCCCAAACAGATGTCTCACCCAAGTATTCAAACCTTGAGAAGTAGTATGAAATATACTCCCTTCATTAGGGTCCTTCTTTTAGAGTAAGAAATTGGTTTTTGTGGGAAAAGGAACACTGTGTACAGGAGGTAAGAACAGTCTCTCTGTGACAGCTCCAGCTCCTGGAGCTCTGAGGTTTGTTTGCTCAGGTTCAAACCTGATTCAAAAGGAAGAGTCCCCACCCCCACCCCCATCCTTCAGGAAGAAGAGAATCCTCCCAGAAACTTCACCAAATAATTTATGGTCATTCTTTCATGACTTAGAAGGGAATGCTGTATCAGATTAAACAGCAGAGAGCTAGACCTGGAGGGAGTAGGACGTGAGCGGCATCATTTTAATCTGTATCAGCAAGTACCAGTGTCCACAGGGCCTGGGTTTGGGAGAAAAGCCCTGAAGGACAGAGCCAGGTGATGGTGTGAGAAGTAGCCGAGGCAGAACCAGCAGGAGAATCCCAGGTGCCTGGGAGGGAAGAAGGGTCTTTTTCCTGTTAGTGCTTCAGTCATGAGGCAACAAAGGCATCCACCCACCCAGAGTGAGCCCCCAGGTGGGGGCCCCTGTGGGTCCAGGGATTATTCCTTTACCTTTGTTATACTAACGGCATTAATCGATATGTTTATACAGTGCTGAAACTCATTTGGGAAGTTCACTTGGGGTGATGAGGCTCCGGGTTGTCCACTTCTCTATTATATTAACACTCTAAAAGATGCACAAACCAAAACATCAATGCACTCATGTATGGTGAGTGATAGATGTGGTAAGATGTTCAACATCAGGCTCCCCTTCGGGGTAGGTAAGCCTACACAGGGGAGGGCGTTAAAATTAAAGACCTTTCTCTTATTTGGTAGACAGAGCAAACCCCACCATCCTTCTGATGTGACAACTTTACTTGAAAAAAGTTACACAAAATAAATGATAGTCATTATAAGCTATTTTAGTGTCTTTGATAATGTTTAAAAAGCTTTCCTCGTCTCAGGAGTTATCCATTTACAAATTACCTCAAAGAGTGGTTTGTCTCCAGATCCTGAGGTCAGAGACCACTTTTGATGCAAACCTCGTAGCTACCTGAGAGTCAGGTCACCTGTCTTGGTTTCATCCTCCAAAACAGAGCTGTTGACACCTAAAGGGAAAGCTTGTAAATCATGTGAAGGGGTTGCTAAAGCGTGACCGTGATGGCAGCCCTGAGTGAGGGGTCACCTTGGGCTGACTCAATGATACTGCATTTTGTCCAAATGTTAGCAAGGCAGAAAGCAATGACAGGATTCAAGTGTAACCATCAAGCGTCAGCTCCTCAGTCCAAAAATGACCCTCCAAGTCAGCCGTCAAGATTTAAAAAGACTGCCAACCAATGTTTTTTTTTACTTCATAATGCTTACATATACCTGAAACATTAAAAATTATTTTGCATGCTTGTGACTGAGGTTGTCAAAGATAACTCACCTGTAGGTTTGAATATATACAGGACAACTAACCTGAGTCATGGACTTAGAGAATCACACACAGAGATTTCTTGCTTCTCTGTGGTCCTTCCACATTGGGCAAAAGCCACCTTGAAACATGTCATGTGTATATTACTATTTAGCATGCATGCCTTACTTAATGCATCATACTTCATATACTTAGGTCTTCTATCCCCCAAATCTGTGTCACATCACCCAGTGTAAAGCTCTGACAGAGAATGTGCTCAGTAAATAATTCTTGGATAGTGTAATAAAATGTCTCTGATCTCAAGTAGTTTATATAAAGCAAGAGAAAACATCAACAAAAATGGGAAAGAGGAGAGATGTAAAAGACATAAAATGAAACACATTTCCATAATCTGAAGAAAACAAGCTGAAGCTCCCACTTTAATATTACCTTGGCTTCCACCTTGTTGTGTTCCATAGGCAGTGAAATTTATAATGTTGCATAATGACTGCAGAAAGACTACTGTCATAACAATAGCAACCGTACCATCTTAAAAAATAGAAAATGTTCCCTTACTCAACCATAATATGCACAAAGGAAAATGATCTTATAATGAGAATTCCCCCTTAGCAGAGAGCAGCTCTGTGTTCAGAATATTGTTGATGAATGCTTGACCTGGTTTCAAATCGACTGATGATTACCCGTCAAGTGCAGAGCCCTTTGCTGTTTGGGGCCATCGGGTTATTGGCGGTGATTCAGATAAACAAAATATAATAGATAAGCTTCAGCCAGCTCTCCTGGTATCTCAGAGCCTGGAATCTCCTCAATCCTTCCTCCTGGTGGTTCATTGTGTTAAAAAACGGGAGTAACCCAAGTGTCGATGAGTTCACTACCCTTCTCCTAATGCCTGGCACTCACTCACTGTGACAGAAAGAGCCACCCCTGTAGCCCAGGACACACAGAGAGGTTTTTCTTTCTGCAGACTGGATTGAGGCATCATCATACCCTTAGTGAACTAGGTTCCCTGCTCTGGAATATTCTTGTTAAGAGATTTTGTCTTTTCTGCACTGAGGTTAGGATATGTTTAAACAAAATTCATCCACGGCGTCTTAGGCCACTAAGGAAGGCACCCAGTTCTGAGACGGCTTTGGGTTGTTTGTGACAGATCCAAACATTGTCTTTAAAAATACAAACCAGCAGCCTCAAGAAGAGTTCAACTGAGCAACAGTGAAAAGAGTGTTTCTTGGACTCTCTTTGGTAGAGGGTCAGATACAAATGACTGTTAGTCTCCACTGAGCCTGCTCTGCCCTTCCTCCGCTGAAACCATAAATACAACCTCTTCAGCATCAATTCTCATGTGCTTTCCTCTGCCTTCCCACTTCTAATCTCATATGTGGTGGTGAATGTGTTTATTCATTTCATTCTAATTAATCATCCCATTAAGTCATGTTTCCAACTCACTTTCTAACCTGGACAGTTTTCTTCGTTTTGGTATAAATTGTCACTTTCAGAGAACAGAATTGGCCTGTCCACCCCTCGAGCCAGAGTCAGCCAGCATTCTTCCCTTGAGGCTTTATGTCCTCCTCCTTCGCTCCTGGGCAGGGAGGTCAGTTAGCCATCAAGTGGTTGGTGAGTTAGTCATCACACTGGTACAGGAAGACGTTTACTTCTTCCTCCCTGTTAAGTTTTCATTGCTACGGAATAGATCGCACCATCAGAGGTTTGGGGGTTATCTGAAGCTCATTGTCTCTGCTTTCCCAGTCTCCTTAATCAACGACTATTGGCTGTATATGCCTGCTTCTCAGTTAAGCTGTCTCCCTCACGGTTTGCAAGGCATTAATACAACTCTGTCAGGCTTCTTAGAAGACTACCGAAAGTCACTTTAACGGGCACTTGTGAGACTGTTATAAAGATGCATGTCTTAAAAGTTAGAGCATAAATGATATTTTTTTATTACATTACGATCTTGTGCTGTGACCTGCCGAGTGCTTTGTCCAAATTGCTCCTCCGTGGTTGGCTTTATTAGGTTCTGAGGAGATGTGTGGCTTTTAGGAGAGAACTGTAGAGCACTGATGGAAAAGACGGCGTGTTCTTCTATTTCTTGTGCATTTATTTTCCATTATTTAAATTTCCTGACTTCTGTGTGCAATGAATGATCTGCATGTGTTGTTAAACTAAACTCAGTAAGCCTAGACTTTTTTTTTTCAGCATAGTCAACTTATGTCCTTATTGGCAAGATGTTAGATTGTTTCAAAAATAATTTTTTCAAAATGGTCTCTCCCTCTGTTCACACTTATTGATAGAGAGAAGGGATTTAGTCTTTTAAAAACATATAATGAGACTTAAAATAAGAAACTTTATCTTTTAACAAACTAGCAATCTAGAATCTTTTCTTCTGTGGTTTTGAACATGTAGTCTATCTGACCATTGGTTTCCTGTATTAATTATAACTGCAGGTGTTTCATACAAATGAAAAACTTATTTTTTTATTTCAAAGCATAATTAATAATTAATAATTAATGTTATCAACTTCATTGATTCCTATAAATATTTACTGTTTAAAATTCTGAAATATTTTGCTCCTCAATCATTTATACTATGTTGCATTGCTATTAGTTGCAAGGGTTGCTATATTCTAAAATATTTATATTCTTTTCATATGAATCAGATGCTAACACATAGACTACCATCATTTGTAATGCCTATTTCAAATCGAATCACTTCAACCTAACCATTAAGAGTACCGGATATGTTCCAAGCAGCACGATTACACTACATAGTACTTATTGCTTAAATAGTTTGCGTACTTAGATCTGAAAAATATAGCCAAATGACTTTGTTTTTGAAAATGGAAAGTAAAATCCCTCAGCACTTTCCTGGTGGTGAAATGCTTAGTAATGTGCTGCTCTATTTCCCTCACTCCTAGTAAGGTCTGTAGTAATAAGCAGAAGCTCTTCAGAAAATACACCACATGGAAGCAGAGGTACCCAGCATCCCAGCTACTGACATGAGATTTGAGAATGCCGACTAACCTCAGGTGCATGACCAGGTTACACCACTACCCTCTTGAGCCCTGTTCAGAGACTCACTCTTCCTAAGGACTTCTTGAATGAAGTTTTCAACCCGCTTGTAATTTCCCTCGTTGCCTGTTGCCTGCTTTGATAATCTGTACCCCAGGGACGTACTTGTCCTATTGGCAGAGTCCCGCACAGTGCTGGCAGTCAGCCCCTTGGCGCCTCCTTGTGGTGAGACAGCTGCTGAGCTGCTGCACGCACTGGATGTTATGTATGGCTCAGTTGCCATATTGTGCCTGAGGCGAGAATTTGTAGAATGCTTTTCCTGTGAAGGGCTAAAACCCTAATTAAGTATAATAATAACTACAGCACTCTAAATCCAAGAGGATTACTGTGGGGTTACAGCGATGCCACACGGTTCCCTGGCAGGGAACATCCAGTAGTAGGCTGCATGCTGGGCCCTTTGAGTACTAACTTCTACGTCTGGTTCCTAGAGAGGGAAAAATGCCCTCGCAAAGTGGTTGTGCAGGCTCCCCTGAGTATAGTCCTAAGCTAGGACTGTGGCACTGCATACTAAGAAAGATGCTGCAATCGGTGACTACAGGGACCTTTGGGTTACTTTCTCCAAAGAGAGACCTCCTTGTTGGTCTCCTAGGCATAATTCTTGGCATTCTTCCTAAAAACACTATTAACATAAATCTTCTTCAAAAATCATGTTTACGGATGTCACACACACACACAAAAAAAAGAAAAAAACAGGAAAATAATGAAAAACTTCAGTGGGCCAGTGAAGAATCTATATTTTTAGTCAATGTGTGTTTTCAATAACAGCCACCTAATAAGTTTAATAGTCATCTAATCAAGATGCTCTGTTGATTTTCAAAGGGAAATGAAGTAGAAAAACTAATAAAAGTGAGCTTTTTGTAAGAGGACGCTAGAAGAGATCTTTGCCTTGGAACAGAAAATTTTGCCTAGTTAAAAGGTTCTGTATTACGATCTTATTCTTAAATTTCATGCAATTATATAAAAAGAGAGTAAAAACATTACATATTTTTTTTCTAATTTAGTGTGTGATATGTTGAGTTCACTTTAAAGTAGTTCTTGAGAATTTCTTTAATATTAGACATTGGCAAATAGTCATGTAGTTTAGAAGGACAAAAAGGGAAACAGTACCTAGAATTAAATTTATATCAACTTTAAGTGCTTTAAATGGTATTAAGATTCATGTTATTTCCACTTTTCATTAATTCTTAGATATAATATTAAAATATTTCAAAGGGGCAATTTTTTAAAATACTTTCAAAGGAGTAATTGTTTTTAAATATTTTGTTATTATAAATAAGCCATGGTGGATTTGATGATGATACTTATTTTAGTGTTTTGTTTTGTTTTTTTACTTTTTTTGGTAACTGAAATTTTTAAAAAGGAAAAATTAAATTTCACATTAAATGATTTAATGATATATTTATCAGTTTCCTATACATTTAGCTGGCATGAGAAAAAGCTATATCTTGAAAGTGTGAGACAGTAAATTAATTTGATATTAACTAAACCCTACCTTCTCTAGTAATTGACATCTGCTAGTTCCAGAAAAGGTAATTGATTAGATAAAGTATAGTGAGAACACTTGTAAGGATAGCCATGTTGACTTAAGCCATTCATTAATCTAAATAAAGGTGCAAAGGTGAGCATATATGTCCCTGAACCAGATCATCATAAATTTCAGTGATAGAACAGACATGCTGAAACTGAAAAGACATTTGAAATTTTTACTACTAAAAATCAAAATGAAACAAAGAAAAGCTTGAGAAAAGTAGACATTTTGGGCACTATCCCTTGGAGAATTCGTTTAAATAATTTGAAAGCTTTGGATGACATGGAGAACTTAGCCTGCAAATAAAAAGATGCAGTTTTATGATGTTATTGTTGCTGTTGTTTAATATAATCTACCATTTAATCACACACTTGTCGAGTACAGAAAAAGCCTATGATTGATGGGATTGTTTTAAAGAACTCTTGAACCCACCTGACCCCATCACAAAACTGCCCTGCCTGTTATTTGCATGTGCCATCAGCTACTCATGCTGGATTAGCTATGTCTGCATTTCAGAGGAGAGCTGTCAGCTGCATGGTCAACTTGTTTATTGTTACCAGGACTCCAATCCCCATAGTTCATTATTGGATTTGTTTTCATGTAAACACACATAAAACATGATGTCTTTTTAGAATATCATTTGTTAAGCCACGAGGCATGGAAAAATAAATGTTACTCTTTCTTGTTAGCTACAAAACACGTATCCACTAAACACATTTGCTGTTGGCATGCTGCAGCTGGGGACAGTGGACATGGTGGTAAGTGGGAAAAACAAGGCCTCCACTTTGCCTCAGATAATCCGTCTCCATGAGAACGCTACCTTCGTGCCCCACAAAGGCTGCAGCACAGCTGCAAGTCTCAGCCTCTCAGAATAGCTGCTCCCAGGGATTCCCCTCAAACCCATCACCCTTCATTGCTTCAGGCCCTGGAAAACCCTGGGCCTCAAACATGAAAACAGTGTCACTTTCTAATGAATAACAAGATAGTTTATAAATGCGGCAAGAACACAAACAAAATAGGTACACAACGCTTCCTGCAGTTCATTTGATTCCCACAAATATCTCTTTGCCATGTTGTTATTTTTGTCTCCAGGTGAGAGATAGGGACTCCAAACCCCAAGCCTGTAGGATTCCAGCCTGTCCTTCCCACCACATCTCTTGATTAAAAAAGCATAAAGATGCACTCTGGATGTTGCTGTTGTTGTTAATGCTTCCTTTATCAACCCGTAACAGTTCAATGCTAGCTGGCATCTGAAAGCTGAACGTCTGAACAAATATAATTTACCAGTAGCTGCCAGAACAAATCAATAACCTGTTTAATAGCAGGATATTGTGTTGGTGAACATAACATTTCACTCCATTAATCAGTCATCACATTCATTATATGTTGGGGCTGTTCTAACCTTGTGTGGTTTTGTCTCACAAGAATGAACGTAAGCATAAAAGAAATGTGGTGTTTAAGTGTCGTATGTAGACTATGTATGCAGTGCTGCCAACTTCTATGAGATTGCATGAATTTATGGATATCATAATCTTGCCTGGGATATAAAATGCATGCAGAATGTAGATATTTATGTATATGTAACTGTCTCCCTGTTTTCCTATAGAAATGTTTAGTAATTACAGAGATATCCTCCCAAATTAAAAAAAAAGAACTTTTTAAATCTCAAAAGTTGAGGTTAAAGCTAAAATCTGTTTTGAAAGTGAGTGCCAAACCAGTTCTTGGTATTTCCAGTGTAATTGTGTATAAACTACTGTACTTGACCTCAGCCCTTTCTATGATGAATCCAGGAAGGGTGTGTATACGTGTAGTAGGAGATTGAACCTCAAATGAATGCAGAGATTAAACAAAGCTCAAATTTTCAATAAGGGAAAAAATATATTTCTATGCTCCTACTTGTTGAAAACATTTCATTTTTTTAAATATATGACCGTATACCATTTCATCAAATTATTTACCCAAGTGGAGTGGAAGAAATTGCTTGAAATGGAATAATTGTGCCTCTGTTGTCCACAGTCAGAAGCTAAGTTTTAAGGAGCGAGTGCGCATGGCTAGCCCGAGAGGCCAGAGCATTAAGAGCAGACAAGCCTCGGTAGGTGACAGGCGGTCCCCAAGCACCGACATCACTGCTGAGGGCAGCCCCACCAAAGTGCAGAAGAGCTGGAGCTTCAATGACCGAACCCGCTTCCGGCCCTCGCTGCGCCTCAAGAGTTCTCAGCCAAAACCAGTGATAGACGGTAAGCCATCTTTCCATAACCATTTTTAATTTGATAGACTCTAATGAGTGAGGTTGTGAAGTAATTAATCCTTCATCATAGCACTTGAAGATAGAAGGAAACAACCCCAGAGAATGAATTGTCTGGTTTTTTTATTGCAAATTTATTCGTTGCCTTGGGCAAATGCACAAAACATACGTTTCCTTTTGGAAGCAACTTTGGCAGCTAAATCTAAATTTCAAAGAAATGAAACCAAATGTTGTTAATCCGTCACTCGTATCTACAACACATTATTATTTCTCAGACAAGGCCTGTATCAACATTAATGTGACTGTCCTGATGTATAGGTTATGTCTGATCAGCAGAGGCCCATGGCCCAAAGACTAGCAGGTGCTCTGTGAATGTCTTGAAACACACTAAGAAGGTAACAGCGCCTTTTGGGACAACAATGAAAGTGCATTCCCCTTTCTACTCTGCTCCGTCCACCACAAAGTCAGAGGCCACTGCTTATCTTCCCTAGAAAGATTCCCGTTGAAAGTTCTTATCTAATGATAAGTGGAATCCAAGGCCTTCTCCCAAGGGGAATTAACCTATTTTATTTATCATACTATGTGGCAGAAGTTTATTTGCCAACACATTTTATTAAGTGCCACATAATTTTCATGTTTATAAAATAAAACATTTTCTTTTTCATTTAAGATCAGTTTGGCTTTCCTTTTAAGTATGCCCCCTGGGATCTCTTATACTGGGCAAAGAACCAAAATCAAATAGCATCTTCCATTAATGCATAAAAACTGCAAAGGCTATCAGTCCTGTGTTCTCATTCCCTAGCATAACCTGTGTTTTCCCAGGCCCTGAAAGCCTGAGGGATAAAATTAACAACCAGGGGTCATAATCACAGTGATCTCAGACTCCCTCCAGTGAAATCCCTGGAACCTCAGCCCCTGGGTCCCTCCCAGTCCATTCCGGGATCCTTGGGGACATCCCCCACTCTCAAGTGAGCAACGTGAGTCCCCTCTTCACACTTCTTCATTCTCCACAACCCGATGGATGCCAGGCTCTCCAAGTAGATGCCCAGCAGCTGACCCAATGTGGCCCCTCCTGGCGGGGCTTGCGGCCCCCATCCCGGCGGCAGGACATGCTGATCCTGACAGGCTCCCCACCACCTGTCACTGTGCTAAGGTAGGCAATGCCCCCGCCACCAGCACTGGACAGTCCCCCGTCAACCCTTGCGTGTCCTGAGTCCCTGGCAGCACAGATTTTTCAGTGTCCTCTGGTTTCCACACTCTCCTCCCTAGGAATTTGGCTGAAAGCCAATGAACAGCTGAGTCAAGAGTTACCAGTTACGGGCTTTGTGTGGCACTCAAAATAGACTTTCTGAATATCAAGTCTATTGAATGAATGCCTCATTTCTGGAAGGCAATTTGGCAACATATATCAAAAGCCTTCACATATGCCTAAGCCTGGACACATCCCACCCGCCAATTCCATTTCTAGGATATAATCAATACAATGAAATAATATCAGACCTTAGAAGTGATGCTATAAATTAAAAATTATCGGTGTGGAAAAATGATCACAAAAAGTAAATTGTTCCATTTTTGCTGTGTGCGGGGGCGGGGGGGTGCGGGTGGTAAACTTATGTATTTATAGGAAAAGGTCTGGAAAGATTTACAATGTATGAAGTTACCTCCAAGTGCTGAAACCATAGTTATATTTTGTTTCTTCATTTTGTTCATCTGTATTTCTTATTATTTCTACAGTGAATATGTAAAGCTTTTGTTATAAGAAAGCAAAAGAGGGTTTTCTACTAAAACATCAGGCCTTCCTTTCACACACTGCCCTCTCCCCTTCCCCGGCTCTGGGGGCCCTTGTTCTAACTGGTAGTCACCAAACCCCCCCCCTCCCTAAGTTGACTTCCTCAACCGAGGTGGTAGAAGCAGCACCAGGTCTTAGTACTGGAGACCACCTTCATGGAATGTAACTAATTGCCTAATGAGGTTTATCAGCCCCTGTACAAATAGAGCTGCTGTATTAGGCTCTCGGGTTGCCGTAACAAAGCACCACAGACTAGCTGGTTTAAGCAATTCATGTTTTCACAGTTCTAGAGGCTAGAAGTCTGCAATCTCCTTGGTTTACAGATGGCCGCCTTTTCCCTGGATCTTCACTTACTTCATCTTCCCTCTATGCATGTCTGTGTCCAGATTTCGTCTTTTTATAAGGACATCAGTTATATTGGATTAGGGCCTATGCAAATGACCTCATTTTAACCTAATTATCTCGATAAAGACCCTATTTCCAAATAGAGTCACATTCTGAGGTACTGGGGATTAGGATTTCTACATACGAAGTTTGGAGGGATACAGTTCAGCCCATAGCAGAGCTCCAGCTCACTCACATCACAGCATCCCTGGACAAGCTGGGGTGTGCCCATATCTTTAGCCCTAGCCCTGGGTTCCCACTGTGCTAGAAATACACACATCACCCACAATGGGTCCATGCTCTTCCAACATGGGCTTCAAAAAGCATTCATCTCCGTGCTACAAGGTCCTTACAGTTGGCTAAGCACATCTAAATATAAAATTCATAGAATCTGGCTTCTGAATATGAAAAATGAATTCTACTCTTACAGTTGGCCAGAGGGAAAGCATTTCTCAAAAACTCCTAGAGCCAATGCTACCCATCACAGTATTTTCAGTTACTGCAAAGATGTCTCAGGGGTCAGACAGAAACAGAAGTCCTGTTCTCTACCAGATCACAAATTGGAAAGGTCTCCTGCCATTTTCTACATCATTCCATACAAGTGCGATTCTGCTTGGTTAGAAAGGAATTGCTTTTCTCTGGTTGATGTCCATCTCAATTGGTTTTGAGTTCCCCTAGTGACAGGAGGCCTGATTGCTGTGCTGTTGAAGCAGCTTTGTTGGCTGCCCACCTGGAAGAGATCGTGATTCCTGATTCCTCATGTTTTCCAATAGTCCAGAATCTTTATCGCTAATTTAACTCAACATTAGGTCTAGGGAAAACAGAAGTTCTATTTTTATAGAGAAAAAAAAAACTTAATTAGCTTCAATTGAAGTAAACTTTTCTCCTGAATTATACACTTTTATTTATAGCACTTCTCCAGGTTATAAGTATTTCTAAATTCCACTTACCACTCACAGAAAATAATATAATCCTACAACCAACTCCCAATTATTCTAGATCTATTCGCTCATTCATATCCCAGGTTCTTTTCTTCGACTTTTCTTTCCTTTACATATTTTGGGCATTTCATTGCCTGTTAACAGCTCAGAGAGAGTGGACGAATAGTAGAAAGAATAATGGAAATTCAGATTGGTCTTTAAGTTAATAACTAAGTTACATTTGGAAAATAATGGGCCTGTAACTTAACGATACTATAATAGAAAAACAAAAGAAATCCAGGGTTCATCTGTAAATTTTAATAATTCCTGTGAAATCTGATACCCTTTACTGCAGATGGTATTATTTTCATAATTTAATGACTCTTGCTAAAGGTTATTAAATACCCCGTTGTTTTCTTTGCTATAATTCTTTATGAAATGTACATATTACACTTAAAAAGGGCACAATTGTCTCCTAATAGTCCACATTCATGTGTACCAGAGAAGTGGAAAGATACGGAAATTTACAAATGGCAAAAAGGAAGCAGTAAGCTATAAGGGACAGGTGTAGTGTTGCCATAGCAAATTTATTTTGACCAAAAGGATATGAATAGTAGTTTTAGTTTTTAAATCCAATAATAAAAGATAAAAATGCTTCATTAGTCAATTGATAGTATTTAATTCTCTTCATATAATTTTTTTTTATTGGGAAATTGGGGGAAGGGGAACAGACAAGTTGCTGTCCTTTTGTTCTTCAGTCTAGTTGTGTAGGACGTTGCTTCACTGGCCCAAGTTGGCACCATCATTGCGCTCTTCCTGGGCGAGGCAGATCAGTCGCCGGCTTCTGGACGGCCGCTTACTGCTCACGCTGGCTGCTGGCTACACACAGTAGCCCATGGCAACCCACTGCCACAGGGGCTGCAGCCTACACCGTCGCCGGCGACTCACGGCAGCCCAGCTCCAGGTTGAGCTGTTGTTCAGCATCTTAGCTGTAGAGGGCAGTGTCACTGGCCCTCATATGTGGGATCCGAACTGGGTATCTCTGGCATCCCAAGCGAGTTCTTAACCATCGCGCCACTCGGCCGGCCCCTGTTCTCTTCATATAATTTTTTAAGTTAACTAATATATGACTTCTTCAGATTCCACAGGTAAGTGAGATCGTGCAGCTGTTTGCTTTCTGTGTCAGACTTATTTTACTCAGCACAATGTCCTCCAGGTTCATTCATGTTGTTGCAAATGACAGGATGTCTTCCTTTTTTAAGAATGAATAATATCCCATTGTATAATTATACCACAACAACTTCATTTCACTGTGTGTATATATATATATATATATATCAGATCACCATGTTGTACACCTTAAATATATACGATTTTTATTTTAAAAATAAAAAGAAATTAGGTAGGATAGAAATACTATTCCTATCTCAGTATATAAGAAGAATAACAAGGATAAAAGTACCAGTTATTGAACCCTTCTCTGTGGCAGGCATTGTTCTAAATGCTCTACTATTGTTTCACTTAGTTCTTCTAATACCCCTATGAATTAGGTTCATTATTATCCCCAATTTTGGGATGAGGAAACTGAGGCTTGAAGCTGAGTAACTTGTCCAAAGTCTAACAGGTATAAGGAAGGGAGCCATAATACACACCTAGGCAGTCTAATTTCACAGCCCTCCTGTAGGCACGTTGTCAGATGTGCTCCCAGATGTCATATCAGCTGCCCTTCAAGCATTTTTCATGTCTTCCGTTTCCCTTCCACCCCTCCTGCCCCACCGCTTTCACTCCTCCACCTTCAGCTGGTCAGATTCTCTTCCCATATAAACCATTTGACCTTTCCACTATCCCAGTCTGCCAAACCTCCGAACTACATCGCCTTCAAAGGCTGCCAGAGCTAGC